ATCAGTTGTAATGTTGCATTCTGCACATTTTCATTTTACACGCATTAAACATTTAGCAGTAATGACACTACTGCCTGAAAGCCATATTAAGAATAATTTTTTATTATATGAATTTGACAGACTTTATAAATTCAGTTACATCAAGTACAATGATTTAAGCAGTTTAAGGACATGCTTTTGCTTTTTTATAAATGGTCTGCAAGCTCACATGGGGAAAAGCAGATGTCCACTGAATGTGCTGTGATGATGTTCTCCATCGTCGAAAATCCATTGTCCAGGATAGAGATTCACCTTCATTTGATCCCCTTCTTCTAGCAGCAGAGAGACTCCATTTGAAGAGCTGATAAAACCGCTTGCTTGGTGTCCATGTGTAGAAATGATGTGCAGGTCATTTTTAAACAGGCCTGCAGTAACGGCTCTCTTTGGATTACCAAAGGCCTTGGAGAAGACCCTGAAAGCATACGCTCCCCTCACAGGTGCTGTAAAGATTCCTGTAACAGACAGTGGTTAATTAGATGCATTCAAATGAGAGCATCATAGAAAATCCCACAGATACAGTCACACTATATGAATAGATTCACCTGTGTTTGGATCATAGGCATCTCCAATATTAAGGAAGACATATTCATAAATCAGGGTGTGTAGACCATTATGAAAGGGTCCAACGCTTTGTGGTCCGAAAGAGCTCAACAGAGAGGCTGAGAAAGCCACTTTAGGAGCTAAAACAAACAAATCAGATTACAAATGATCTCATGCTTGCATTGTTCAAAAGTTTTGGGTTGGTAAGATTTCTCTTAAGGCTGCATTTATTGGTTTACAATAATAGATTTAATTTATTTGCCATTACTCCGGTCTTCATTCTGCAGAAATGCATTCTAATAGGGATTTAGTGCTCAAATCTTTATAATTTTTTTTTTTCCCCAGGATTTGGGATGATTAGTTTAAAAACGGCATTTATATGGAACACAAATATTTTATAATATTATGTCATTACGGTCACATTTGATAAGTTTAATGTATTCATGCGGAATACCAAGAGTGTAACTTAAGCTCTGTACAAACTGCAGTACTGTGGAGCTACACATTTTAGAAAAATATTTAAAAATAAAAAAAAAGCTAAATTCATCATTAATAAATGAATGAATCCCGACTCATTTAACTTGATGACAAATTTTTACAAAGTTGTAACAGCCTTATTTTTTAGTGACT